AAGGTATTTTAATTGTATTGTTATTTTTGTTAACTATAAAATTATACTATTAAATTTTAATTTATTTAGACAATTTGCATGGTATTTGGTTTGTTGATAATTCTCTTGGATGGCACTCTCATGAAAATATGATTTGTAAAATTTGTAAAGTCACAGGAATATTAATGCACTTAAGGAAAATCACAAACCATTCATTACGCCATACTGCTATTCAGATCCTTACTAAATTAAATGTTGCTACCGATCGTATAATGCCTTTTTTAGGACATCGTACTCTTAATGGTATAATGTCTTACCAAACTTTTATGCTATAAGTAATGCATAATACAGTGTCTTTAATTATTCCAGATCGCAATTCTTCTGAATTCAACAATAATGATAAGAAAGAAGATCACAATAAAGAATATTCTGGTAATCAGAAAGAAAGCCACGATAAAGATTATGGTAATAAGGAAGAAAGTCACGATGATGGCAATAAAAATGAGGATGCAAATAAAAAAAGTAAGATTTTTTTTTTTTTTTTCAATAAAATAAATTAAGAAATTGAGAATTTTTTTTTTTAAATATAGAAAGAATTCCCTTAGCTCTGTTACCATTAAATGTAGAATCGAATTCTCATAATTCTAGAAAAAGCACAAGGTTCTCAAAACTCCACACGACTGGTCTAAACCTTTTAAAATTCTATATTGCACTTCCTCAAAACAAACAAGCTCCGCATTACAAGAAAGTAATAATAAAGATCGTAACAAGCCTTTAAATAATAGTGTAATGCCCCAAATTAACATTAATAACTGTAAAAATATTAGTGTTAATATCACGATTAAACATTCTTAAATATATTTTTAAGATTTTATAATAAAATGCGATATTAATTTTATTGAGTGATTTGCTTAACTTAATACTGTCGATCTAAATAGTATTCTTTTTTCATCTAAGAGAATTTAAAGTACACCTGGGGAAATAACAAGTATTGCCAGGGAAATAACAAGCATTGTTGGGGAAATAACATGGGTTACTAGAAAATTGGTTTTCTTTACTGATTAAACTAGTGATTATAAGTCGTAAAACCCCGTCATGCGATCATATAAAAACGTGAAATAACATGGGTTACTAGAAAATTGGTTTTCTTTACTGATTAAACTAGTGATTATAAGTCATAAAACCCCGTCATGCGATTATATAGAAACGTGGAATAATTTTTCTTATTTCTCCTTCTGCTGCTTTATTAAAAATTTAAATTTTTAAAAAAAGTGACAAAAACAGCTTATTTCCATTAAACGATTGGTATTGCTTACTCTTTTTATTTTTAGATAAACTTAGTAGTATGTAACCATATTATTTGTTTATATTGAAGATATAGTGCTATATCATGTGATAACAATCGGGTCTTAGGTTTTAAGTTAAAAAGATATTCAAAGTTGGTCAATAACTAGAAAAAACTTATAATATTAAAGTTTAATATTATAATAGAGTAGTGAATTGCCTTGATTATATAATTCTCAATTATTAGTTAATTATCTTGATAATCAAGCACAATGTTATAAGCTCAATCAAAAGTAAGTCAATCAATAATTGATTATATTAATTAATTAAATGGTTGAAATTTTATTAATCAAAAAATTTGTATAGTAAAAAAAAAAAAGATATTATTATTAAAGTAGGAATAGGGGCTTTTTTTGAAAATTAATTTGAGCCATTCCCCAAAATTCTAGTCATATAATAAATTATCATATGACTAGTGTTTTGACGAAATGGTCCAAATTAATTTTCAAAAAAAGCCTGTACAGGCCCAATGGACTACCTGTTCCCTACTCTAATTATTATAGTAAATCACTCAGATAACCTGTATAAGATCTATATATCAACTAGATTATAACTATTGCTATTTAGATAACTCAAGCTACATAAGTTATTAAAATAACTTATTGTAGTTTGTTTTATAATAAATTGAATATGAGTTAATTTCTACATAGATATAATATAATCAATCAATAATTAATTCAATAATTGATTAATTATATATATTTGAGCTTAATCAATTATATTTGATCAAGCATATATAATTGATTTTTAATTAATTAAGAATAGTTTTTTTTAATTAATTATCAATTAATAATTTTTTTAACAAATCAATTTCCTACAGTAGAGATATACAAGTGTTGTATTTGTTATATAATGTTTTTAAAACCTAATATGAATTATAATAGTATATTTTATATTTTAATAATTTTTTTTAGTTTTTTTAATTTAGTTAGTATAGATTTAATCACTTTGTAGAAGCTTTTTTCTTTGTTTTTCTTTTTTTACATTTTCTTGTTTTTTCTTTATTATCACCTTTATCTTTTTTCTTTTACTTTTTTTTTTTGTTTCATTTTTTTACTTTATTTTTTTCTTTTATATACTATAAACCTTTTATATATATATGTAAATTTTACTTTCTTTTGTATATAGTAAAGAAAGAAAATTCTAAAGAGTTTGGCTCTTAACAAAGCTAATATAATCTTTTGCTTCTTCTGAAAAGTAGTGTGATAAATTGTGCTAGTAGTTATTCTTATAAAAGATCAAGTGATAGCAGATCTACTATATATAAATATTAAAGTAGATTTCATATATATATTTTTTATCTTTAATAAAGATATCAATAAGACTGTTAAAGAGTTAAAAAAAATAAAATAAAAAATAAAATTTAAAGATATAGAAACATTGTATAGTAGTTGAGTTGTTATATTCTCAAGCTAGCTTAACTATAGTACTAAGTTTGAATTTCACTAGTTATAATTTGGATAAAATATTATATTACAAGTCAAAATAAGGCAAATTAGGTTCAAATTGGCATTACAAAATCATAATATGAACCCAATTTGAGACAGATATTTGGCGAAAATAAGATATCTATAAAATACAATTCAAATTAATATCAGCATACAAGACATATCAACAAACCAATAGCTCAATAAGTAAATTGATAGCATTATAAGATAAGCTCTATCGATTTATCTATTAAGCTATCAGTTTGTCAATATGTCTTGTATACTGAATTGTATTCTATATGTAACAAGTTAAGTTTGCATAATTATAATCAATTCAAATATAATAGTCCTGGTAATAAGTATATGCAAAGGACAGAGATTGATCATAATTGAGCCCAAAACAAAAAAACAACTAATGTGCAATTAGATAATATGTTTGAAGAACAAACAAATATTTATTGTGCCTATGTGACATAATCACGATTATTGATCGTAATTAAGCATGGGTAATTATGATGCAATTAATAGTAATTAATCAGGTGGAACTAAAGATCAATTAATTTATTAATCATATGTATTATAAATATAGTTATAGTTTAATAGCGATTAGTATAATAAATATAGTTATAGTTTAATAGTGATTAGTATAATAAATGTAGTCATAGTTAAATAGTGGATTAGAAATATAAGATATAAAAGAGAAGAACAATATAAGTAATAAAAACTTAACTTACATTTGCTTAGTAAGAAATAGTAACAAATATACTAATGTATAGTTATATTTAGTAGTAGTCTCTTATTGATAAACCATATATTAAAAAAAAAATAATAAAATAAAAAAAAAACATATCATAGCAGCAATTTAACAAATTTGTTGAAGCATTTTTTAAGAACCAAGAAGTTGTCAACAAACAGCTTACTGAAATTCTTTAGCATCAAACCATCCAACCATCCAACCTTGTATTACAACCAAAAATATAACTTATATTCAAAAACCTCAACACACTAAAATGTTGTCAGTCTAGTTGCCAATTTTTCACAGATGTGAAAATAAAAATATACTGACTTGGTTATTTCAAGTCGATATATTGTTTAAAGCATATAAGATTGATGATGAAGAGCATTTGCAGTATATAATAATTAGGTTAAAAGATGCAGCACTTCAGTGGTATTTAAATAAAATCCAAGCCCATGAAAAGCAAAAATCATTTAAGATTTGGGATGATTTTGCTAAAGAAGTAAGATTGGTGTTCCAATTTCTATAACACCAACAATATTTGAGGCAACAATTAAGGAATATAAAACAAACCTCAACAGTGCAAGAATATGCTTCAAGGTTTAAAAACATACTTGGACAAGTGAAAACTATAGATGAAGCTGACAAGATTCTTTATTTTACTGAAGGTTTAAAAGCAGCTACCAAAGCTAAAGTTAGTTATCGGTCACTGAAAAGTTTAGAGGAAACAATTTGTATAGCGTTGATATATAATACTACAATGTATAGTGTTAGTGGAACGAAACATCAAGCCTCTGGAAAATTTAAAAATAATACTTCAAAACTATTTGGTTCAAAAAATAACAAAACAACACCAATGAAACTTGACAAGACGAAAGCAAAGAAATTTAAAAAATATAAGAAAAATGTCAACAAGAGCAAAAACAATATAAAGAAAAATAATTTCAAACAAAAAAGGTTATGTTTTAGTTATAGGCAGAAAGGTCACATAGCAAGGAATTGCTCTAATAAATCTAATTCAAATTCTGGAGTCTTGTCAAGTACAAATGCTAACATGGAACAAGTTAGCTTAATAGAACCGGAAGTTAATAATGATAAGAGAGAAAAACTTTTATGCATTAAAGGAAAAATTTGTGAAAAAGAAGCCTTAATCTTAATAAACTCTGGTGCATCTAAAGATTTTATTAACACACAATTTGTTAAAGTACACCAACTGACAATTAATAAAGACTCTGAAGAAAAGTTAGTAGTGGAGTTAGCTGATGAGACATCTTGTGAGTCGTGTAGACATGTATTAAATATGAAGATTCAAATATACTCATGGAAGAAAACAGTACACAAATGGAAATCTTACCATTGCAAAACTACGATGCAATACTTGAAAAGCCTTGGTTATACAACCATAACTCTTGAATCAACTGGAAGAAAAATGAAATCTCTATATGGAAAAATAATAAAACCTATAGAATTAGTGCTAGGGCTGGTGACACAGGTCGAAAGATGAAAAATCAGGCACAAATCAGGTACCTGATTTTAAACTGATTACTACCCGATTGGCACCTGATTTATGCATATTTTTGTACCAAAAATTTGGTACAAAAATATGCATAAATCAGGTAGTAATCAGGTAGTAATCAGTTTAAAATCGGGTACCTGATTTGTGCCTAATTTTTTATCTTTCGACCTGTGTGAAAAACAAACTAAACTTTCTGCAACAATAGTCTCACGATTGCAATTAGCAAAAAACCTTAAGCAAAAAGCAGAATTGTTTGTAGTATTAGCTGCAACCAAGTTAAAAACAAATAAAAGAAAAGTAGAAGTTTCTAAATTCTTAAAAGAGGTAGTGAACAGATATCAAGATGTTTTCCCAGAAGAGCTGCTGAGTAAATTACCTCAAAACAAAATGTTAACTATGAAATTCCTTTTCAAGAAGGTGTAGTGCCCCCATTTGGCTCCATCTATAGGTTGTCATTTCATGAATTAAAAGAATTGAAGAAGTAGCTGGATGAACATATCAACAAAGGGACAATTCGTTCTAGTTCATTACTTTATAGTACCTAGTGTTATTTGTAGCAAAAAAGGAAGATGCTTTTTGTATGTATGTAGATTACAGGGCATTAAATAAAATAACAATTAAAAACAGATACCTCCTTCCTCGTATAGACAACTTATTAGATCAGCTTACTGGTGCTAAATATTTTAGCAAAGTTGATCTATGTTTTGGATATCATCAAATATGTATTAAAGAAAAAGACATTCCAAAAACAGCATTTAGAACATGTTATAGATATTATGAATTTCTTGTAATGCTATTCGGCTTAACAAACACTCTAGCTTCTTTTATGCAT